TGAAATCAACACACAACTCAGTGTCAAACTTCCTGAAATCAACACACAACTCAGTGTTAMACTTCCTGAAATCAACACACARCTCAGTGTTAMACTTCCTGAAATCAACACACAACTCAGTGTTAAACTTCCTAAGAGATGCAGGCTAAATCAACCAAATGAACTTGATTGTGTTTAGTTTTGTGGAAATAAAACAGAACGTGCAGTCTGACACAGAAGCTCATGATTTGATAGATTAGAGCTGAATGTTTTCACATCCATCAGAACATAAACACTGTTTACATTTGTAACATCTGACAAGCTTGAGTTTTTTAATCATTTTAAAGAGAGCAGGTTTTAATCATTTTGTCCCAGACTGTAAATATTTGTATTGATTTTAAGTTTAGTTTTTTTTCAAACTTTTAACAGATATGTCTTTTTTCCCCTAACGCAGATCAAAGCTGATTTATTTATATTTACATAGTTTTGTTGTCTCATAGGGACAACCAAACCCTAAAGACAAGGATGTCCCGAAGCCAACCACTGACCTGTCAGAGGACTTGTTCAAAGTTCATGACTTTGATGTGAAGATTGACCTTCAGGTTCCCAATGCAGGTGAGCTGCTTTCATCATCACAGCTTTACAGTAACTAAGTACAAATACTTTCTTACTGTAATGAAGTAGACATTTTGGCTRTCTGTACTTTAATTGAGTACATTTTTTCAGCCAACTTTTTACTTCTAGTCCTTACATTTTTACACAATTATCTGTACTTTCTACTCCCTACATTTTTAAAAAAGGTAAAAAGTAGAAATTCATCACTTATGTCTTTCTGGCTTGTTACTGATAAAAAAATCTATCCTGATAAACTGTGCCTTTGATGTTTACCATAGTACTTTGTACACAATCCATCACCGCCTTTAAAAAATGTATTTGTAAAATCTAACCTCTCTTTTTTACTCAGTATTTTTTCTTTTTATACTTGAGTACAAAATAAATCAGATACTTTAAGACTTTTACTCAAGTAATATTCCTAAAGGAGATGTTAAGCTTTACCAGAGTAATTTTATGATAAGATACTTGTACTTTTACTCCAGTATGACTTTGTGGTACTTTATACTACAGCTGTATAACTGAGCTGATGAGTCCAGCCCAACATGAATACTAACACTGCACGTTTCCTGCAGAAGCAAAGAGTCTGTCTGTGAGCTCCAACGCTCTTCCAGTGAAGGACGGCGCCCCCCGCAGGTCCCTCAACCTGGAGGACTACAAGAAGAGGCGGGGCCTGATCTGACAAGCCCCGCCTTCACAATCACACTGCATGTGTTTGGCTGCGTGCACATGAACTGAACTGTGAGAGAGGTCTAAATGCAATAGATTCTTCATCTAAACAGAGGAAATAAAATCTGAAGAAAGAAGATTTTTCTCAAAGGATCACTCTCAGAAGAATCATGTCCAGTTATCACAGACAAGCTGTTGTATCCAGGTTTTATATTTTATTTACTCTTTCTCCCTTTCATCTGGAGTCTATTTTTTCTTTGTTTTGTGTTGTTGTTTTTTTTTTTTTGTTGTTGTTGTTTTTCAGCAGAACAGAGCGCTTGTGTCTTGGACAGGTCCACTACCTCAGAAATCTTAGGTTCATTTTGAAAACTTCCTGGACATCTGATGCAGTGGACATGTTGTCCTCAAAGACAACAAATTATTGTAAAGACTGGACTTTTCTGAAACACATGATCACCTGCCCTGCAGCTTGTCCTGATCATGAAAGGTTGTTTTTTTTTKTTGTTGTTGTTTTTTTGTTGACTAGATGATGACACATTGATTTGACGTTAAAACACAGCCCTCCATTAAAGTGATAAAGGTTCAGAGTGTGGCAGCTGGACATGTGTGACTGTTCGGGACTTTTAAAATACTTTGATGTAGGAACTTTTTTGGGCCAGATTCTAAAAGTGATGCTTCATTTGTCCTTTTTTTAATGGCTTCAACGTCCCTGCCAGGAATTACCAGAGCAGATTCATTCAGAAATGTTATTGAGTGTGTCCATAGTCAGTTCCTGTATTGATGTGGCATGCCATGTAAATATGCATTTTCAAGTGAGTGCAGAAAAAATAAAAGATGCACTGTTTCATAACTTTTGTGTCACTTTGTTTCTGAAGAATCAGTAGAGGTTCTGTAGGAGAATATTCAGAAGTGAGCACTTTTATTTGTACCTCACTAATGTAACTGAAATAACTTGAAACTGATCAAAGTAATAAAGAAGTAGCTAATAAAATATCAGGATGGTACCTGTAGAAAAGACTGAAAATAATTTGACTGTAAGGACATGTTAACTAAGAGCCTGTAATTAATATCACAGGTGTTTGTTCGCCTGTTGAAAGGATGAAAAGTAGTCATTACAGTTTAAAATCATAGTATCTACCACAGTCAACATGGACACAGGAAGTGAAGGACAGTTGTCTGCAGCGTAGGAAGAAAATGATTGAGCATCATGTTAAAGGTAAATCACACATGTTGTTTGAAGATGACTGGCAGAGTTAAATATGCAGCTGAAGCAGGTACAAAACTGTCACAAAGTTTTCAACACTAACATTTGATTATAACATTTTAGCTTTTAGCTAAATGTTTTAGGGAAGGTCTCCTCCCAACAAATATCATTTTGGAAATTCTAACCATTCACTTTTACTCAGTACTTTTACATTTACTACTTAAGTATACATTTAATGTCCGATACTAAAATTTGTACTCATTGGGCCTCATGCAAGAACCGTTGGTACACAGATTTGTTGTTAAGTTGTGCGTACGAGTGATTTAGGAGAATTTGTGACATTCACCAATGTTTTCATATTCTAAGATTTTTTTCAGATACGAACAAAATTCAGGAGTGGTCCAGACCTGTCGTATATTTTACCAGCAGTCAGTCTGCTGTTATCCAGACGGGTTTCACTAATAACTTTTATTTTCAACTCAAAATATCTTCAAACTAATGAAAATAAATCACACTCTATAATTATGTTGACAATAGGCTATTCTGCTTGAACTAGAGTTATAATTTTAAATGTAATAAT